CCCGCATCCCCTATTACGTTGCAACCTATAGAAGGATATCGTGATTCGATGGCAGTGCCTGACAATGGCGAGGAGAAGAAGAGTGATAATGATGACAATGCTCGCGTTGTATTCGAAAACGATGATGGTGTTGATACCCCGCCTCGACTGGACAAGGGGAAGGCCCCTGAAAGGGCTTATGCTCAATTTAACCCTGAGCAGACAACAAGCACCAGGTCGTATTCCGAGGCCGATTCGACTAATGCACAACAAGCCCAAAATCCTACTGAACTAGCCAAGCAAGACGAGCGCTTAGGTACCGCGGTAAGTCTCACAGAGACAGAGACTGAACACGATTCGGAGGGCTCAAGTCCCGCCTCTGAATCAGAGTCTCAGGACGCCAGTTATCCATCAAGTGTATTTGAAGAGGAAGATGACTATGACCCAGCCGCCGCCACCTCGGCGCTACGAGACCAAGTGACAGTCAGTTCGTGGAAGCAGCAGCAGAAGCAGAAGGCGGACCCGGAGGCTGAGACAAGGTCCCTGTCGGAGGCGTCTGAAGAGGAAGAGCCCTTTCAACCGCCGAGCCCCGGCGATCCTGGATGGGAGACGTCTACAGGAAGGCCACCACGAAAGTTGCCAATTCTGTTTCAAGATGCACTTGGGCGCAGGTTCGTCTTCCCCTGGGAGAAGGCTAGGACGTGGATAGTAAGTGTCAACTCCCTTGCTTGGCCGATCTAAGAGTCTTGTCCTACCAGTTCTAGAACGGTTGTTCGTCGAATTTAATTTCTTTTATTTGCTTACTAGCTAGTAGGGAATGAAAGAACTGGTTGAGAAATGCTTCAACAGCCTCGTTCTCCTTAAACCACTTATGGTAGCGGGTCGTTACGAGCTAAAGATCAATGTATCCTTCCTCACGAAGCCCTCTAACGAGAGTATATCGTCTAAAGCATCTACAGCCCCAGCCGTCACGCAGGCGTCGAGTTCAACAGTGGAAATATCGGGCGAGGTTACCGCCGGCTCATCATCCTCATCCCAGCCATCAAGTAGCACTAATCCTGCCCAACCCCAACAGCAACAATCACAACAACCCCAAGATGAGTCGTCGTTCACTGTGCTCCCGGACCTCTGGGAGGAGATAATCGAGCCAGGCATGCTCGTCGTGCAGCACATGTTGACGGACCAGAACTCCGCTCTCGCCGCCCAGCTCGCTCAGCCCCCAACGCCAGCGCCAGTGCCTCACTATATCCACAACTTCATCCCCAATTCACATCATCATGGCTGGAACCATGTAAGCGTCGGTCGTGGCGGTCGCGGCGGCGGTCGCGGACGGGGGAGAGGAGGGGGCACTAGCTCCAGCATGCGCGGAGGACGCGGCGGCGGTAGTGGGAACTTTGTACCGATGCAGCCGCCTCTCGCGCCCGCGGTCCCTATCTCCCCTCCCATGGCCACCCGGGGCCGGGGGCATACACTATTAAGAGGGAAGACGAGGAAACGGCAATAGAGGATGAGGTAGTGAGCTACAAAGTTAACAAGTTTCTAGTTCATCATGAGTAGGCGGGCTGTGAGTAGATACTTTATAAGGCCCATCTTGGCGTTTTAGCCCCTCAGGCGTGTATCATGTGAACTTTAGTCAGACGGTGTTGCCTTATACCTAGTTGGTGTTTGTTATGGGGTCATAGGTTTAGCATACAGTCTGCGGGCAGCTGATTCTTTTAGGGAATGCCTTGGGTTTTCATAGTGGACGTTAGTCTAGTGATCGGGGCGCATCCTGTAGTCTGCGATGGAAACGTAGGCTCGGTTTATTTTTTGCGGCCTAGGGTAACTTGATCGCTTACCATAGGCGGCGCATGACTTAGTCGTTACGGTCTGGCCCTATCGGAAGTTTGGCCTGTCTACTTAGGTGCGGGACCTCTCGCTTTACAGCCTCCGCATCGTCAAGTTGGTGAGGCACAAGCTCTTGAGGGATCCAAAGGATACGTTGGGTTTACGCCGTAGTCTGCTAGGGAAATTGTACTAGAAATTCTAGCGTATTGCTATAGGCGCGCATACATCGTTTAGTAATGTAGCAATAAATACCATAACGTCTCCGACTTAGCTGTAGTTAGATGTGTTTATGAGGTGCATGACGTACATTCATATGATTTATATCCGCTTACAGTCTCTCAAATTCTCATAATAGGATGTGTCATACGCTCCAGCTTATTGAATTTTATATCTCTTCGCCTTTGGGATCTGTTGATTTGATTTCTCGGTTACTAGTGTAGTGTATGCTATTTACACCCCGCAGGGCATTACGAAGTATCGCCTCGTATTCTTAAAGCCCATGTCTCCCAACATGAAAGGGATAATGTTTAAGTTAAGTCTCTTCTATACTCTGATGAATCAAAAGCTATATTTTACTCTACCCTCTGTATTCGGGTATACTATATTTACCATTTGTTGACGTAGAGGGTAGGGTCCGTAAGATAGGGGTAACAGGCTCGCCGTTGTACATGGAGGTGGGCTAACTCCTCTATAACTACTTCTACTGAAATCGATGTTCTTGTCTTTTAACAGTTGGACTATGGTATAAATATAGTAGAATTCAAAAGATCAGAAGGCTTAGTTAGTTATCTAATAGAAAAAATAAGTGTGCGAGCTACATCTGTCGCTTATTAACCTCTCTAGTAACCAGTCACTACCTATGGGTCATTGGTTTCACTCCCTGTACCGCATCATAAGCCTAGTAGGTAGCTATTCTTATACATGATTGACCTTTGCTACATCATAAGTACTCAACGGAATCATTGGCTCATGTTGAGCCCACAAACCACTGAGGGCTTCAGTTGACGAGCTTGAATCCAAAGGGGTTGTCGTGGAAAGACATGGCTGAAAGCCACGCGAAAAAATTTGACATGTCAAGTTAAGGCATTACCAATCATATACAGAGAATAGAAGCGTACAGTAGCTGTATCTCTTACCGTAAGGGATCCACGCAGCCTCCTCTCGAGTTGAATTTATGAAGCCTTTCAAATGAAAAGATTATAGAGTTAGTTATAATCCAGAGAGAAATGTGAATGTAACTTAGATTTTTTTTTTCTTTTTGGTTGAATGCTCAAAGGGCAGTCGGTTCATAGATTGTCATTTGTTATGAGAGGAATTCCCCCTAAGAATTTTAATCGCGGCGTGGCGTTCTAGGCCTAACATAGCAATACCTAAACAAAACTAAATACACTATTTTAGTCCCTTAATGAGGATATAATGGTGGATTGAAAGTTGTTCCTTGAAATTTAAGTGCTATTTATTAATCGGATTATGGAGACAGGGGCATGGTAAAGAATCTTCAGTACTACAAGTAGGGGGATCCCTTAGGATAACTGCAACTGGTTTGTTAATCCTCCAAGCTATCTATATCTAGTGACTCTAATGGAAAGACTGATTGGCATAGACTCGATGTACTCTAAGATTGAATACATTTTACTAGATTGATATGGTGGCCCTGATATAGCTGCGACGCTGAGCGTGTCTTTGATCGGTCCGCCCGAGTATTGATAGATCTAAAACACTACGGGTCCTCGTCGACATATGGATCCTAATTTCGGTGAGAGCTAATCCAAACGTTCGATCAATAAGAATGCAGGTAGCCTCGACGTGTTATAATTGTATACATATACTATAGATATATGGACTCTACCTCTCCCTTAACTAGAAATAACGCTCGCACCAAGGCTCGTATAGAAGCTAATAGTAACATTGGCAGTTATGCTCGCACTGAAGCTGGCCCAGACGCTGGAACCGAGTCGGACAGTAAAATGGAACGTGTGCTAGGTACACACTACACTTCGAAGGTTTGACTACTATCTCAATAGCAGTTCCAAAGGTTTCTAGCTTCAGATTCTTAAAAGAGAAAATATTAGGTAGAATTTAGTCTCAAGGACCATGCTAACTAGCTAACTAAGGAAGTCCCCGGAGGAGACTGAAGGATATATCTAGGAAAAGTTTATCGCAAATGTACTAGACTCTAATTAACAACTTCCTCCTGCTCCTCTTTCCTATTCACTCACATTAAGACGACAGCTCATCTACGGGAACAAGCCTAATTTCATAGGAATCCAATATAGAGGGATAGATTAGAAAAAAACTGACTTACTATTCCGAATTTAGATCAATTGACTGTCTCTCAACTTACCCCGACTTAGTCCCCACGGAATGTTGCAGAGTCATTCACGAGCCAGCAGGGGCCTTCTCGCCCAAGGCTCAATATGACATATCATAATGGATTTCTAACTCTCTCATTTGAAGTCCTCGAGACTAATAGGAGGTAACTGAGGGGTATTTTTGAGATTTTTATTATGAGCGGTGTAGCCCCGTACGAAAGCCACATCAAACAAGGCAAATGGCTTTTTCAATAATATACTCTCTAGGCCGGGAAGAGGTGCCCTGCCTGCTATTGCGAGTGGCCGAATAAATAGCGTATGCTGGGAAAATTATGAGGATCTTTAAATCTAATTCTAACCACCACTAATGTATCCCTTAAAAAGGCATGCATATTGTCTCATCACCGCGAACTAAACCGACCCTTAGTGTCTCTTATGGCTGACAGCGGCTTCACTGATTACAAACGCTTGATCTTTAGGAGTTATCGAATTTCATGTAGGCCTATTTATAATCTCTTCGAGTGAAGAGCTCCAACTCCCACACAGAGGGAAAAACCTTCTTCCTAGCAGCTAGTCTGCTGTTGACAGCCAAAGTTTATCGCCATCCGTAACTGGAGGAAAGTCCAACTCGATGATTCAAAAGACGAGATATCATGAAAGGTGTATAATGACTGTATTATTTCATTTCTCAAGTACAGTTAAACAACCTCCGATCGCTACATCGGTACTTGGTATTATAGACCCATGTCCAAGTCCGAATTTTCATCATCCAATCAACATCGCCCGCTTGGCTAAGTGGTATAGCGTGTCACTAGTACTAACTAGATGTCATGACAAGATCAGCGGTTCGATTCCGCTAGTGGGCATCTTGGATTCTTCACATCCGAATTGGTGTAGTGGCTAACATTTGACGCTCTCATCTTCGTTCTCTCAACTGAGAAAAAGTGCCGTCAAGCCCGGGGTTCGATTCCCCGATTCGGAGTCTTGATTTTTAGGCTCAGTTCCCTCTGGTAATATTTTAGCATTTATGTCACAGAGTGGGAGGAACTACATACAGGTCAGGTACAATACAAGAAGTAGTATATAGCTGGTGGTGTGTATCATACAAGACTAAAAGCTTGAAGGAGAGAAGAATCTCCTTCGAAGCATGAGCGGAAGTGGTATGTACAAGTATACCAGTACTCTCTTAAATCCTAGCCCTTAGATCCTGACAATTTATCTAGATCAGGCCTAGTTTAGCTATATCCTGCCTAGACCCCAAGAACTCTTAAGTGCACCAAGTCATAAAATATATTATAACTAACGTATCTAATTGTGCTAGATCAATAGGCTAGTGAGTTTGTTTAAACATATCTAAACTATCATAGTCTTAAAGCCGAAGTGGGTGAGTTAGATAGGCTTTTAAGGTACCTATTTCTTTCTGGACAAGGGTGCTTTTTTTTATTTATAATACATCTACAAGTTCGCTACTACGTACTCCACAGATAATTACCCTTATCCAGACCTCATGCGGCAAGCATCTATCTAGTGGGCCTTCTCATAAAGCTCACAATTTGACCTCACGAAATGTGACACCCAGTAGACTTATTTTTGTTTTCATTTTCTTCATGTTTGAGGTGAGCTAGCTTTCGGAAGCTCGGGGAGAAAAATGTAGTATACAAGGATCCAAGGGCCTAGGCAAGACTTGGTGATTTCTAACCTACTAGATAGAGGCTCGACTAGTAAGCCACCCCCTGTATGCTGAACTGTATGATGCAAGTTAGTTGATATCAGCGGGAAAAATGCTCCCCTTAGTAGGAAGGATGACCTGATGTTCTTTCTCGCATACATACAAGAATATTTGATTAGTAACTCACATTGCCTATAAGTCACGCCACCTTCTTATAATCACATACAGCGCAGATCAGATCCACGTGGCAAGAGAAGTGAGACCTACTATGTACTAAGTGCCATTTCGCGACATTTGCAGGCTGTGCCGTGATTTCGCATAGATACTACGACAAAACGCTGAGTCGTCCCGGAAGATGATATTTCTCAGAACACCTAACTGAGGAGGGGGTCATCAACCCAAGCTACCCACATAGAAGCTTACTGGGAATGATCAGCCGTATACGTATGGTGTTGTATAAACCTATGTAGCTAAATAGGTATTCAAGCCGATGTGCTATTGTTAATCCGATACGACGGAGACTTTGACTAAACATCTACATGGCCGAGAAAACGCCCCCCGCATGTCCGCACCTCCGCACAGCGACCGTCTGGGGTTGGTTTGAATCGGCACTTTCGGCGGATCTGGCCGCCGCACTGATACCGAGACCTTAGCTGCAGTCTGCAGCTAACGTAAGGCAAAAATAGACCCTGACAAATGATGCCAAGTGATACTCCTGCTGGCGCCATTTGCCATGAGGGTAGTGACGTTCGAAACAAACAAGGTACTCGTATTACCGCATGCATTCTATGCGTTACACCTGCCTGATTCTTCTTACTCTTTTACATCATACCGTTTATCGTGATGGGGCTGGTGCTGCAACCGAGGCCGTGTAATAATCAAAACCCCTCCCTTGCCAAGCGGCGAAGTCCTACGGTGAACGATGGTTATCTGTGAGCACATGGTTAGTTCTATGGTTGAGAGCCTTAGGTTTCTGGGGTTGTAAGAGATGTAAGATCTAGTTGTGCACCTCTACTAGTCGAGTGGGTGGTAACCCCCCGTAGCTGCAGCTGACTTGCCTGTTACACTAGAGATAGGGATTTCCTAAACTTGTGTAATAGGTCCATGCGACGGGGGGGTCTTTATGGATACGCAATAAGCTCTTCCCAATGATAACTACCTAGTTTCCAAGGTTGAAGAAACAGAGTAAGCTGATCTAGACGCGAAGGTGAGAGTAGTTAGCTCGGTGTGTAAGAGTAGATTAGTTAGGCTAGCAATCCCAACATATATCATAGCCACATAGTTTATCGCCCTAACTTCTAGCTCGATTCCGTTTTTCTCTCACTTTATTGAATTGCTTAGAACTTACGTGCTATCTGCCGCTAGTCCTGGATTTCCAGATCTAATTGCAGACAGAGGTCTCGAGACGTACCAACAAAGAACAAGTAGCAAATCTGACAAGATGGATGTTGAACCTATCGCCGTCATTGGCTTAGATGCCAAGTACCCATGCGACGGCGATACGCCAGAGAAATTCTACGAGTTTCTCCTTGCTGGGAGATCTGCTAGAGGCCCTATACCACCGGCTCGATACAATTCTGCTGCTTTCTGGCACCCAGACAACCATAGAGATGGAATTGTATGCTGTATCCCTCGGCTCTTTTTTTTGGTCCCTATAACTAACCGAGAAATGCTAGATTGGAGGAAAGGAAGGGCATTTCATCCAGGGAAATGTCAGAGCTTTTGATGCCCCTTTCTTTTCTGTCACGCCTGCTGAGGCTGCAAGCATGGACCCCCAACAACGCATGCTTCTTGAATGTGTCTACACAGCCCTTGAAAACTCTGGTCTTACAATGGATGCAGTGAAGGGCTCACAGACAGGAGTTGTAAGTAATACCAAGCCAATTATGTGATTTTTTATCCAATCTAGGCACCTCAGAACGCTACATATTTGAATTGAAATAAAAACATTAGCTGACACTATACTTCAGTATGTGGGAGCTTTCATATGGGATTACCGAGATGTATTAATTAAGGATATAGATGTCCCTATGATGTACACCGGATCTGGTACAATTGCGAGCACACTTGCCGGGCGTGTTTCCTGGTTTTATGATTTCCAAGGGCCAGCACTGAGCATCGACACTGCTTGTTCGAGTAGCATGGTCGCTCTTCACCAGGCTATTGTTGGCTTAAAGGCGAGAGACTGCGATATGGTATGACGCAATAATTCACATTATCACCACGTTGCATCCACTGATTATCCATGCATGTAGGCGCTCGCCTGTGGCACGAATTTGATACTCTCTCCCGAAATGGGGCTCGAGCTAAATTCCCTTGGCGTTTTAAACAGAGATGGAGTTTCATACAGCTTTGATGAGCGTGCCAGTGGCTATGGTAGGAGTGAAGGTATCGGAGCCATCGTTCTTAAGCGGTTGTCGGACGCTCTTCGCGATGGAGATAGTGAGCCCCCCTTTATTAGCTACTCAAATGTAACGTTACAAAATACTAACTAGATATCATCTAACTAGCTATCCGTGCTGTAAGTTACGCTCAGTATTATTCCTATCCACTTTTAGTTAGCCGTTTACTAAAATTTGGGTGCTTTAAAGGTCATTAGAAACTCGGGCTGTAACCACGACGGGCACTCGCCAGGACTTACGGCACCCGCAAAAGAATCTCAGGCAGAACTGATGCGAAAAACATACGCTCAAGCTGGCCTTGACCCATCAGTCACACGATTCTTTGAAGCTCATGGCACAGGCACGCCGGTCGGCGACCCTATCGAGGCCAGTGCGATCAGTGAAATGTTTACCCAGTTCCGGTCTCCAGAGGAACCCCTTTACATTGGAGCTGTTAAAAGTAATGTCGGACACTCCGAAGGAGCATCCGGAATTACATCTGTCATTAAGAGTATTCTCACGCTCGAACGCGGCATTATCCCCGCAAATGCCTGGTTCGAGAACCGCAACAGCAAAATTCCGGACGAGTGGCATTTTATATTTCCTACTACAGCGCTACCCTGGCCAGAGACCAAGACGGGACTTCGTCGAGTTTCTATTAATTCCTTCGGTGTTTCAGGGACAAATGCGCACATAGTGATAGATGATGCTTATCATTTTCTTAAAGAACATGGGTATGATGCGCCTCATCGGACTGTCGATGTACCTCAACTGCCTGGTACCGCTTGTAAGTTCCAAGTTGACCCTCTGTCTAAGTCTGTTCTCATGGTTATTCTAATTTTACTCTTTCATAGCTATTCCGAAGGTTTTACCGAATAGTAATGATACCGCTACATCACCTCAACTTATTGTCTTAAGCTCGCAAGACCAAGATGGCATATCTAGGCTCGCTAATGGCTACAAGCAACACCCCATAAGCGATCCGTTCTATGACTTTGCGTTCACTCTAGCGACTAAAAGAACTCATTTCAACTGGCGTGCAGCATTCGTTGCCAATTCGATAGAATCTATGCAAGATGCGCTTGCAGAAAAACTTGACGTTAAGCGCGTTGCCGCTGACCCTGGACTTGCACTCGTTTTTACCGGCCAAGGAGCGCAGTGGGCTCGAATGGGAATGGGGCTGGTTCACTACCCCGTTTTCCAGGAGAGTATACAATCGGCCGATGCATATTTGAAAAGCTTAGGTAGTGACTGGTCTGCAATTGGTGAGTTTATCTATCATCTGTGGATTAGCAGTCATTGGTGATGGCACAGGTAGCTAACCTAATGGCGGATAGACGAGCTTTCGAAACCTTCGAAGGAATCGCGAATCAACGAAGCGGAATTCTCGCAGCCTCTGTGCACAGTACTACAAGTTGCTCTTGTTGACCTGCTCAATTCCTGGGGAGTGTCACCACAAGCAGTTACCGGCCATTCTTCCGGTGAGATTGCAGCAGGCTATGCTGTTGGAGCCATCTCCAGAGAATCCGCATGGAAAATAGCATACTGGCGTGGTAAGTAGAGCTCATAGCCTTGATCATCACGTCGAATGGTACTAATCTAGATCCCTTCATATAGGAAAAATGTCGGCTAAGCTGCTTCGATCTGTCACAGGGCCAAAGACTACAATGGCTGCTGTAGGGCTCGACTTAGAAAAAGCTAGAGATGCCATTGACAGAGTGAACGAAGGATTTCAGGGCGTTGCAAAGCTCACAGTTGCTTGTATGAACAGCAAAGACAGCCAAACCATTAGCGGAGATGCGGCACAGATCGAGGCACTGGTTGAAGTTGTGAAGGGCGACCAAATCTTTGCACGAAAGTTAGCCGTTGAATTGGCATACCACTCAAGATACATGGAACCTATGGCAGACGAATACACGAAATCCCTAGGGG